CATCACCCACAAGCATTCTGTGAAGCAGAAGTCGTCATGATCACCCAGCGCCAGGTACTAAGCTCATCCCAAGTTCTTGGTCACCGTCTTTTCGCACGGCAATGTACAATAATATATCTTCACATCCACGTCAAGATTCCAAACCATATATTAAAAATAGGGGATTTGACTCCGAGAGGAAGTACAGAAACCAATCCTCGGGGACGACTCCGCCTATCTTTTTCTCCTTCCATCCCCGGCTCGATCCGACATGATGGTGCTCCTATGGCTAGGTTGTTAGCTTTATAAGGTTAACAGTTCTTCTCAATAAATGATCTGAGAGGCTCCTGTACCATTCGCTACTGATCAGGCGTTGTTTAACTCCTCCACCAGCCTCTTAAGCTTGGCCATGTCAGCGCCTTGTGATTCATCTTTCTTCTCACCATTCAAATACGCCTGGAAAGTGGGCACAGAGCGGACGCCAGCCTTCTCGGAAACAAGCGGCTGTTGATCAATGTCGACGTTGCAGAACACAATCTCCGGGTACTCCAAGGACATAGCTTCAAATTTTGGGCTGACTTCTTCGCACGAGCCGCACCAGGTGGCAGAGAAGTCAACAGCAACCTTCTCGTGATGAGACAGAAGCTCCTTAAAGGCTTCCTCAGAGGTAACAACTATCATCATATTGTGCATTGAACGGATAGGTAGGGGTGAGCGCTGATGATAAGTGTTAAATGGAGGGGGAGTTACCTATCGGAACAAGATAATCACTGCCTCCTCGCAAATATACTGGAATCAGACGGCCAGCAGTGGGTCAAGGAGGGAGGTGATGTGTCAATTCGTATTACCCACTCAGCGTTGTTCAAGGTAGCCAGCTCTTCGAGAGCTTCTAGTTCTTCTTCTCTGCAATGCAATCAATTTGTTGGTTTGTAACACGCTTCTGGCTCGATAAGCCCCGAGCCCTTTACATCCGCAGTCACAAGGATAGAGACGCGGGTATTTTTAATTCAGCATGCCCTATGATTGCCCTCCGGCTTCTTGCCAGTAAGGTTATCGGTGTAAAGAATTCTCCACCTGCTGCCATAAAGACCCGTAAAGGCTCCCTCCCGCAACATTTGAAGCAGGTAGTGACGACTGTAATACCATGTCCTCCCATGGCTGCCAGCCTGTCCTGCGGACTGCATGCTCGAAGCAGTGGTACACCCACTTTGTTGGGCGCGAAATCGACAGTATGTAAAATTTCCCCCTTGGCGGTCTTACATCCGAGGAAATATTAGCTGCTGCACCGGTCCAGATTCATATTTGGGAAGCACGTCAACATCAGTGTCAATGGAGTCGGTCTGGCCAATGAGAAGGGCTGCAGATAAAAAGGTTTTGTCTTGCCGCTATGCACCTCCTGCCAAAAAGGTGCGGGGGCAGAATCAAACGGCCACACCCATGCTGGGATTGTCTAGCCTGATGACACCTGGCGGAGAGAAACATGCATGAAGGAGTGATCCCGCCTACAAAAACGTCGTAACGTCATCTCAGCAAGCCCCACCTTATTCCATCCTAGTCTAAGCATCTGAAGATATGCAAAAATTACCCCGTCAGTCCGAGTCAAATGGTGCCTTGTGTCTGACAACTGTGGGGAGTCAAGCCACGCCTAGCTAAGCTCTCTGCAAAATCCACTTACAAATAGTTAACTAGTTACATGAGTGTACATTGTTGGTAGAAGATGTGTTACATCCACTAGGTACGTACTTGGCTACACTGACGGGGGTTTCCTGAAAAGGCGACAGCCTTGGATATGTCCTCGTCGCGACAACGCTTTAGGTCACTGGCACTATCTGTGAGGCTTTCGATTTTTAACAACCCTACATCTGGTAGGGGGCCTAAGTTCTTGGAGCTTTGTTTGGGCAAGAGGGTCCGTTGCTCCTTCTCTGTTTACGCGTGGCTGCTGCTGCGCGGTTTGCGGCGTGTGTTTCGTGGTACGTGAGGTACGAGACCGTTCGTTGTATCAGGGGTGGGATGCGTCCTTCCGGATGGCGATGCTGGGATGTGTCAGAAACGCGTTTACCGCATTCGATGTTCTTATTTCCTCAGTTACAGCCGGTCTAGCGCTCTACAGTGTCTGCCAAACTGGCTGATAGTTGCAGCAACGCAACCCGACCCTGGTGATCCGCGCATCCACCATTTCCACTTTATGCAGTCCTCTCGTGCGGGGGAGACGATAATAAGTGACGAGTATGGACCGACGAGTAAGAGGCGCAGGTTACATCAGACAGAGCCATTCCCCCGTCTCGCGGCTGTGAACCCGTGTAGGGCCATTGAATTATGCAATAGCCCAACTCCATTTACTGTATTCTATCTTGAGTTTGGCGTTGACTGAGCCGATGAGAATGGTAACCACACCAATTCAAAGAGTGGTCCATCTCCAGCCGCAAAATCTTTCGCAATGAGGTTGCTCTCAAACATTGTGTCATGATATTACTGGCTCAAAATTGCAGTCAGTTCACGGGCTGCAATGATGGCAGAGCAAGGACAGTCCCATCATTGGCTGCCTCATTCGAATGTACAATGCAGAATTGCGGTGGTTCGCCATAGGATCCCTGCAGTTCGACTGAACAGGCTACACGTTGACGAGGCGACCGACGCACCCTCTACTCTCGGCCCAGGTCGTCTGATGAGACATCTCGTCTCTGAGGATTTCCTGCCCGTGTCGCTGGTTGCTCAATAACTCTCTGCATCATCTCTTAGAATCACTATTCCTATAAATCTATGAATTCGGAGCATCTTCGCCCAAGACGCCGTCATAGTATAGTTTCTGCGAAGTAAAAACATCTGATTTAATTCATGAACTTCTTTCTCTCTTGCACTGCTCATTCCAAGAGATAAACATGCCTTCTCAAACTACCAACAATAAATCGCAACAGAAGACAAAACAGGTCCCAGCAGCTACATCCCAAGATGGAAATAAAGACCCTGTTAAAGACTTATTGTTGATGTTCGAGGGCTTCGCTTCATCTGCAAGCTTTCTCGAACTCAAAACCATGCATATTGACAATACAACATTGAGAGACAATCTTCAAACATCTGAGATAGCTTATCGTAAAAACGTGGGAGAATTGGCACAGTGCAGTGTACAGCTTCAAGAACAGAAAGAACAGCTGGAGAAAGAAAGGGCGGAAAAGAAGATTATGGAGAAAGAACTTCAAGTCAAGCAGAAACAAGCCGCGCAGCATGCGACAGATGTAAAGCATCAGGAGGAGAAATTGCAGACAATGATTGCGGATATCAAAACAAAGGATAGTCGTATTCTTGCTCTGGAAAATATCCAGCAAGAAAGGGACAAGATCAAGCTTGAACTGGCGTCGCGAAAAGAGCAGCTTGCCAACAAGACAGAGGAGCTCGCCGGTGTCCAAGAGCAATTAGCCACCATTGAATCATTTAGAGTGAAAATGCAACCACT